CCCCCCCCCCCCCCCCCCCCCCCCCCCCCCCCCCCCCCCCCCCCCCCCCCCCCCCCCCCCCCCCCCCCCCCCCCCCCCCCCCCCCCCCCCCCCCCCCCCCCCCCCCCCCCCCCCCCGCCCCACCGTCGCTGTCCACCCCGCCGCGCCCGGAGAGGCGGCGCGGCACCACCGCCGCCCATCCCGGCCACCTTCTCGCGGTCGATCGGCTTCTCGGGCTCCTTCTTGATCTCCTCCTGCGTCACCCGCGACTCCACCGCCATCTTGTCCCGGCGCTCCCGGATGTCCCGCCGAGCACCGCCCATCTCGCGAGAGCGGGGAGGGCGGGGCGGCCCTCGTGGGGCACCGCCCTCAGCCCTGGCGCCCCGCCCTGTGCGTGAGGGGACGGAGGCGCGCAGGGCTCTGAGGTAGGGGGGTGGTGCGGTCGACCGCCCTATAAGTAGCAGTCGAGTGAAATTAATTAGGGGTAGGTCATATTTAGAATGTATTTCACCAAATAAGTGAGAATATATAGTATATATAAAAAAAACCCCACAAACAAAAATACGTGTTTCTAATGCGGTAGCTTCTTTTTAAATGTGGAAAGTCGTTTGTTACTCAGAACGGGGGGAAGAGGAGTTGGTTTGTTAGTTTGTTTCACAGGATTTACACTTAGATTATTTCCTCGGGTGCTGGGAAATTATTTCTCATTTCGAGGGTGAAGCAAAATTAAGTTTTGCTGTAAAACAATTCAGGAGTGTGTGTGCTTGCAGGTGCAAAATGAGCAAATATCAGGGACTCGGGGATTTGCTGAGGATGGAAGGGAGCTCTAGAGGAGGCTGCCTGATCCAAGCTCCTGCCCAAAGCAGGATCAGTGAGGGCTGGTTGCTCACGGCCGGGTCTGAGTGGATTCTGAGTATGCCCAAGGATGGAGACCTCTGAGCAACCTGCTCCAGTACTCAGTCACCCTCACAGTTTAAAAAAAAAAAAAAAAAAGTTAATTTGTTTTTCTGACGATGTTTAAATTGAATTTGTAGTATGTTGGCATAGGCCCATTTGTTGCCTCTGGTTCTGTGATGGGGTATCACTGAGAAACCTGGCTGTCATTCTTTGCTCCTTCCCACCAGGTGTTCATACACAGTGAGATATCTCTCTCCAGGCTGAACAGTCCGAGCCCTCAGCCTGTCCTTGTGCGACACATTTTCCCGTCCCTCAACCATCCCATTCAGCTGTGTTTGATGCTGTATTGTTGCAGTGTTCCTGCACTGCTCTCAGTGCTCTGTTGGTGCTTTCAGCAGCACAGAACTGTGTGCCGCTGAAGCCGTGTCTCGGGGTCCCCAGTGTGCAATGTACTCCTCACAGTCAGCAGGTTTAAGGGGCTGCTTTCCCAAGTACAAGTCTAGCATCAGAAATAAATACAGTAAGTTCTGCACCATGAAAAAAGACAGGTGTTTGTTAAGGTGTTGTAACTTTGAAGCAACCTGTGCCCTAAGGTTTGATTTCTCATTTCCAAACACCATAGATAAATGTTTCAAATGTATTATTTATTTTAAAAAAAGGTAGGGGAGAAAAATATTATAAAACTATATTCCCATATGATGTTTCTGTGTACATTATAAAGAAGAAAAAGGGTTATGAGTCCATATTATATATTAAAAAATAGCTCTTGCAGTTCACCCTAATATAACAAACTACATTTTGTTTAAAATGTGAACTTATAGCTCACCTAATTTAAGACAAAAGAACTAACAACGTACTAGAGTTCACCCTCAGATTTTGCTATCTTCCTTTTATAGCAGCCTGGATAGGGTTGCATAGTTTTTACTCTGCATTAAGTTATAGAGTTACCAAAGGGATTGACTCAGCCTTCCCATCTTTTTGCAGGATTTGATTTCCCAGGCAACAATACAGTTTACTACGATGCTAAAATTAATTATACCTGCACTGATAATACACATTTTGGGTAAGTGTATGAACCACCATTTCTAAAACAGAGGAATTTGTGTCTAGAATCAGGTATCATAAGCGAATAGCTGTAACAAATAAAACAGTTCTGCTCTGAATCTGAGTATTTCCTTCTGCTAGAACTTTTGGAGTGCTTTATTTATGTGAAAAATGATCCTAGTGGGATTGAGTTTTAAGTAAATTTAAGCATTAATTAATTTATTATTCACGAACTGTATTAACAATCAACAGTTTATTTTTAGTCTAAAATCTTGGGTTCTCAACGTTACATATTTGGGAAAGAAGGTTGAAAATTGTTTGGAAAAGAAAATGCAGCTATGTGAACCATAAACTGGACTGTGAGGTGTGGGTGTTACTGGGGAGGGTCCGTTTGGTTAAACAAGGCATAACACCATAAACTGGATTCCCACCGGCTTAGGCCGAAGTCCCAAGTGTACCTGAGTTAGTCCAACTGCTTGTTTTTGCCAAAGGCGGGGGATTTAGCTCCCACTGCCTGCTCTTACTCTCAGGCATGTGAGGGCTTTTCCCCTCCCTTCTGCCAGGTGTGCCCTCACTAGGTGTTTCCAAGAATAAGTTATGTTCTGTAATTTAACGTAAAACTTTCCACTGAGGGGCTGATTTTCTGTCAGTTTCTTGCATTTGACACTTTCTAAACTGATTCCACAACTGCTACACCTGGTGTAAGGTGAGCAGTGGGAAGTGCGTGCCCAGGAGCAGCTGGGAGGTGGAGGGAGAGAATAGGAAGGGAATAGGGTATGTCCCTTTGGTGACAGTGAGATGGCTCATTGCTTCACTCTCCCTTCACATTTTCCTAGCTTTTGGGGGCTGAGAGGTCCCCTCTGCTTGTTAGGGTTGCTGTGTTCTATACTGACAGTGTGTGTATGTGCAAACACATATACAGTGTATGCTACAGGGAAAATGAAAGCCCCTCACCGAGGTAGTGAGGCAGAGTTAGGCTGTGTGTAGGAGCAAGTCTCCAGCCTTTGTTGTTGTGAAGGAGACACCCAAAATATGACTCAAACGTTTTCGGGTATGAATGCCCGTAGAGCACTGAGACAAGTGGTTCAGAAGTGTGAATTGCCTCTTTAAGAATTATTAACACGTGTTCTTATGGAAGCAGTTATTTAAATAGCAGGCTGTTAATTGCTTATTGGAGCATCTAGGACAGGTATGGATGAGATGTCGTATTGGAGCAATTAAGGGTATGGGACTGGGCAAAGCTGACATAGCCATTTAGTGAAGAGCACTGGGTCAGGTACCCCATTGACCTATGAAACACCGTAAGTAAATTGCGATTGAGAGGGAAAAACAAAAGGAGCAGTTGATATGGGATGACTTAAAACCAATGGGATGATAGTGGGATGACTGAAAACAGAAAGATGATAGCAAATAAAAAATGTCCTTGGGAAGATACATAACAGAATGGCACAGCTGAGTCTGGGATATCAACCATTGAAGCAAACCTCCAAGGAAATGGAAAAATTGTAACAGATGACCAGAACAAGGAGCTCCGAACATTTCAGACCCAAAAGTGGTGTGAAAAAGACCAAAAAACTGCAAGTTCAAAGAAGACGAATTGTCCTCAGCCTCTGCAGCACACTATTTCCAGGTTCCCAGGGCTATCAGAACTTCTGGCTTACTGGCTACATTTCTGAGTTCTTTCTAAGCAGGACGACATACAGCTCCATACAAGTATCCCACAAAGCCTGTTTGATAGAGGACTTGGTCTTTATCTTGATTATGGAAGGTACAACTATCCTGTTCTGGCAACAACACAATCAACTTGAAGCACCTTTACGATAAACTGAGTGAACAAAATCTCAAATTTGATAGAGCTTCTACTGCAAACCAACTTTAACTGGTGGAGGAAGAACATGGGCACAATTTCTTTGTAAATACGATCACTGGTGTGTCATGGTAACATCACAGGTATGTTTTAGGTTCAGAGTGCTCTGTGTGCAGTAGATTTCACTACAGTGTTTTAATTTCCTGTGTTTTGTACCAAAGTTAGTGTGAATTTCAAGAAGGCTGTAGTGCTGCTAGAAAATGACACTGTTTTCATTTAATCATCAGTTTTTGTTCACTGTCCTGTTTTGAATTTAGATGATTTGGGCTCACAAAATGCACCATAACTCTTAGGCTTCTGTGATCCTATTCAACTTGCACCTGAGCCAGCAGGTGAGTGAGTCAGTGTGGTACAGACTGGCTGGAATGGACTATTCCTTTGGGATGTAGAAAAGGACTCTGTCACTGTATGTGTAAAGCATGTAGAGACCCCCCCAAAAAGGTGTCTTAATTCAGGAGCACCAAGACTTGGCTGCCTGGGAGGAATGTATACTTGTGTATAAATTACATATATGTTTTCTTTCTTTCTTTCTTCCTTTTTTTTTTTTTTTTTTTTTTTTTTTTTTTTTTTTTTTTTTTTTTTTTTTTTTTTTTTTTTTTTTTTTTTTTTTGTAAAGTCATCAGAAGGACCACAAGTTAATAAAAATGCTTTGAAGATCATTTGCTGTTACGCAATCTCACAAAATGATTTAACTGTTAACATGACAGTAGCACCAGTCAGTCTGTGCAGCCTTGTGCACACTCCAGGGACACAGGTGGTGTATGCAAGGCAGAGCCACTGCTGTGCCTCATAAACAAGCTGCCTCCTACAGTGTAAGACCTTGATTAAAGTGGAAAGTTGTTTGTGCTGTTGCCAAACTTTATGATTCTGCCATTCGGCTGGAACTGTTCCACATCAGGTGTTTCCTGAAAGAGCATCCTCAGGATGCTTTTTTTTCAGTTTCAGAAAAAAATTGTTCCAAGAATAACATATTAGGCAGATGAACATTATCAATTCGTATTTCTGTTGTTCATTTTAAATGCCTACGGCAGTTTGTCAGAAAAGCTGCCTCATCCACATACTTTTGAGGAAGAAATAAAATTTGGCAGAGATACTTATTCCTGTGTCAGAAATATTCTCATAAAGCAAATACACTTGATTGAACTGTCATCATTTTTTAAAAAAGCCCCTGTGATTTCTCTGCAGTCAGCTGAGACTTTCATTGTCCACCTGGGCATGTGAGGGATTCAGAAGGATCTCCACAGTGCTTGTGAGCTCTGTGGCAGGCCTGGGCACAGGAGCTGGGGACAGTGGGGCTCTTCCTATTTTTTCCTTAGAGCACTACTCCCCGCAGTGGGCAGCAATAAGGGAAGCAGGGTGTGACCCTGTCCACCTCCCCTGAGCAGTGTGAGTAGGGAGCTGGAGAGCCACAGCACTTCGGCCGATCCAGTGCAAAACAACAAGTATGTGTTATGCAAGAGAGATCCAGCGAAAAATGTAATGACTGCTTGAATTTCACCTGGAGGAGACCAGAACAAGCTGGA